ACCAGAACAACCAGACACAGGAACAGTTTCTTCCCTCAGGCAATCCATCTCATGAACACTTGACAATAAAACTTGGAACACACAACACTATCATACATTTATTTAACACACATACTTATTTACATTTCACATTTGCACATAACATACCTGTACATACATACAAAATTGTCTATTTTGTATATTGTGTTTTTGCTATTTTGTACATTGTCTATTTGTATATAATTATTTTTACTTTCTGTGTCTTGTCTTGTCACTGTCATTCTGTTTGCACTGTGGAGCTTCTGTCACTAAAACAAATTCCTCGTATGTGTAAACATTAACATATCTGGCAATAAAGCTCTATTTTTCTTGTCTTTTTTTTCTGAGCCAAATGAAGTTTTAAACACCAATGCGTCCAACACATCTGAAACACTCATTATCCAAATCAGCGTTTCAGATGCAAATGAAGTTCCTCTCTAATAAAGGAAGGTCACAGGACATTTTTACAGTTTCCTGTGGCGTGTTTTGGTACATTCTTCCCACCGCATTACGTCAACCTCATCAGCGAGGCGCGAGAACGCCGTCTGGAAATGTGAGCGCGATCTAGAGGAAGAACACGTCTCGATGCCCACACGTCCTGAGGATCTCACTTTCAATTAAATCTGCCCACAAAAGAGCTGTGATTGTCTCACAGGGGAAATTAAAATGTCTATATTAAACATCTGTATAATCAAAACTCATATCTGTGTCCGGCAACGAGCTCGGTTTACAAAAGAGCTCGATTTCAGCCGTCCAGCCGGTCTGTCTGTGGTCGGACACAAATAGATGTTTATAGGGGCTCCGTTATGTTCATTAAAACACGCAGCGTCTGTCTGACGGCCCCCGCATGTCGGGACGCTCGTTTAAATGCCGTCTGTGTGATCAAGGAGATCCAGACCAACTTCAGTTCATGATCTCCTGCTGTTCTCTGTGCTTCACTAACTGAGCGCTTTGGGTCGATCACGGGTAAGAACCAACCACCTGATGTTAATCAGGGCTTTTGCAAGCTTTATGAAGCTTATTTTAAGGCTTTTTTCAGATCAACACAACTGTCTTGTTTTTCAGTACATATGTGACCCTGCAGCACAAAAGCAGTGTTAAGTCGCTGGGGTATATTTGTAGCAATAGCCAACAATACATTGTATGGGTCAAAATATGTCTAAAGATTCTTTAATCAAGATACATTTACTGGAGATGCAAAACAACTGAAGATAAGAAGTCTTGTTTTCTGAGAAACTGATCAAAATAAAGTGAGTTTATGGCTAAAACAAGAACAATATCAAAAAAATCTACTTAATTCGAAGGGGAAAACGAGTTTTCATTCTCCATTGGTAGATATTTGTGACCCTGGAGCACAGAACCAGTCATAAGGGTCGATTTTCTTAAAATTGAGATTTATGCGTCATCTGAAATCGGAATAAGCAAGCTTTCCATTGATGTATGGTTTGTTAGGATAGGACAAAATATTTGGCTGAGATACAACTATTTGAAAATCTGGAATCTGAGGGTGCAAAAAAATCTAAATATTGAGAAAATCATCTTTAAAGTTGTCCAAATGAAGTTCTTAGCAATGTATATTACTAATCATAAATTAAGTATTGATATATTTACGGTAGGAAATTTACAAAATATCTTCATGAAACATGATCTTTACTTAATATCCTAATGATTTTTGGCATTAATGGAAAATGTATAATTTTGACCCATACAATGTATTGTTGGCTATTGCTACAAATATACCCCAGCGACTTAACACTGCTTTTGTGCTCCAGAGTCACATATGTTTTTGGTTTAAGCATAAACTCACTTCATTTTGATCAGTTTCTCAGAAAACAAGACTTCATCTTCGTTTGGCATCTCCAGTAAATGTATCTTGATTTAAGAATGTTTGCACTGGAAAACAAGACAAAAATACTGAGGAAGATCATACTTTTTTGAAGTGCATGCAACATTTATGGCCATGACTTCATGAATTAAGACCTTCTGCTCTGATTTATGAGCGTTTTAAGGCCTTAATTTGTGAAAGTGTCAATTGAGACTTTTTAAGACCCGCAGAAACCCTGAAGATACGTCATTAATTGCTTTCATTGTCTGTACAGTAACTTTAAAGATGAAGATCGCTTTGCTGGTTTTGGTGCTTCTGGCGTTCGGACACTCGCTGCCTGTAAGTGTATTTGACAATTTTAGTTTCTTCCAGAAAATGATCTGTTAAATGAAGAGCAGTTTAAAGTCTAATTCACTAACCTGAATGTGTTTGAATTAAATATGAAGTTTTGAAGTAGAAAAACTGAAGTAGTACATACTTGTCTCTTTTGTTATATTATTAGTATTTGAGCGGTAAATCAGAACATGACGCTAAATAAACGTCACTGTTTTTGTCATGATACAAACAGATGCAGCGGAGGAGAGTAACGAGATCAGAGAGTTCAGAAGACAACGGGGTATGACACACACACACACACTCATACAAACAAACACACAAACAAACAAACAAACAAACACACACACTCACTCACTCACTCACTCACTCACTCACTCACTCACTCACTCGCACACAACACAATCTCTCTCACACACACACACACACACACACACACACACACACACACACACTCATACAAACAAACACACAAACAAACACACACACTCATACAAACAAACACACACACACACACTCACACACACTCAAACACACACACACTCAAACACCTACACACACACTCACAAACAAACACATACACACACACACACACACACACACACATACACACACACACACACACACACACACATACACACACACACACACACACACACACATACACACACACACACACACACACACACATACACACACACACACACACACACACACATACACACACACACACACACACACACACACTCATACAAACAAACACACAAACAAACACACACACACACACACACACTCATACAAACAAACACACTCACAAACACACACACACACTCATGCACACACACACAACCTCACTCACACACACACACACACATACAAACAAACACACTCACAAACACACACACTCATGCACACACACACAACACAATCTCTCACACACATACTCATACAAACAAACACACAAACACATACACACACACACTCACTCACTCACTCACTCACTCACTCACTCACTCACTCACTCACTCACTCGCACACAACACAATCTCTCTCACACACACACACACACACACACACACACACACACACACACACACACACACACACACACAGATGCTATAGTTCATTTATGTAAGTGAGAATAGCAAAATAAAGTAAACTGTGAAATATTATACCCAAAAATTCTTCATACAGTGGACTAGGGGTGAACTAGGGGTGTGCGATATTGACAAAACATAATATCTCGATATTTTCTGGGAGTTTATCGATAACGATAATTAGACGATATTTTGCCGAGTATGTTATTGTGCTGATATCTTAAGGACTATACCGGACTTCACAAACACACACACACACACACATGCACTCAAACACACACACACACACACACATGCAAACATACACAGACGAACACACTAATTTGACTATATTACTCAGAACTCACTGTTTCCATATTATGATATATGATATGACCGAAACATACCTGTAACACAAACCCTCGTCCAAACCCATCGACATTATTAGATTTTAATCAAAATGGCATGATTCGCCTTTCAAACAGGGACCGAAATAGTGAAGCTGTTCAACAGGTTTCACTTCATCAGAAACCAAATCTGACTTTCTAATGCCTTTCAGAGCGACTGCGAGGAAAACGGCAGTGAAGAGAAGAAAGCAGAGGAGGAAGAGGAAGAGGAAGGAGGAGATGGAGACGAGGAAGAAGATGAGGGAGATGAAGAGGACGAGGAAGGAGGAGATGGAGAGGGAGAAGAGGAAGGAGGCAAAGAAAATGAGGAGGAAGAAGATGGCAGTGAGGAAGGAGAAAGTAATGAAAGTGCCGCCGGTGATGAAGACAGTGAAGACGAGCAGAACAATGAGGAGAACAACGGAGAGGAAGAACAACCGTCTGGGAAGATTTCCTCAGATCTGACAGACGTCAGTCGATCACGTGGAATATTCTGGAGTATTTTCATCTGAACGTCTGTGATGTGTTTATCTGCACAGACAGTCAGACGAAAATAACTTAAATATTAATGCTATAATAGTATAATAATACCTCGGAGTTTAAAAACTAATGCCTCTCTCCCACAGGATGTGACATCATGATGGGCGGAGCTCTCGCCGGAGGACATCTGTGAAGATGATCACCATCGCTGATCCTGGAGTCAAAGAAGAAGATTAAAGCAAATTCATATCTAACTTACATGCAAATTAAGATTTAAGAAATAATTCATACTCACGTCATGAATCTGAAGGTACCTAATGAATTAGATCAGGACACAAAACCACATTAACATGGAAATAAGCAATCTATCAAGTGTAAATAAACTATTTTAAATGTTACTATAGTTTATTATTTTTAAAAATGACATTTCATTTTTGTTTTAATTTTGTTTTATTTACCTTAGCTTGGTTATATTCCGTTTAAATTGAGTCATTTTAACATTTTAAGGGCTGCTAAATATAACAGATGTTGTTTTTTAAATGTATAAAACACATTTTCCTAATTCATTGATCTGAACTCAATATTACACATGTAAAATCCCAATAAGTAGGCCTATATTATATATCAATAATATGTACATTCATGTAAATCCGAGGAACCGGCATTACCAGAGCTGGATTCCGTTTTTAATGTTACACAAGTGTATATAATCCTCAATTTCTATGTTATTGTTTTGAAAAACATCATTAATAAAGGTAAACTGTCGTGAAGTAAACGTCTCGCCTCAGTTAAAAACATGGTGGATAGATTTACCTTTCAGGATGTTTTAAAAGCGTCTGAAAACTTAAAATAAAACTGAAATTGACACAAAAGAAACATTTTTATTGAAGTGCACCATACAGCATGTGCTTAAATTCATCAGCATCTAATCGATATCTGATCGATACAGATGATAGTTACTCAACACCGTTTGGCATCAGACAGGTGTAAAAGCTCTATGACGTCACCGCCTGAGGTCATGTGACACCACAGAGTCGATGATAGCAGATGCTGCTTCTTGATTGGACGACAGTATGACTGTCATAATTATGAGAGACACTGCTCTCGATAATTACGGCTCACATTCATAAGAGTCTCATTATCACTTGGTAATAAAAAAAGAATCTCTTCTCAATCATAACTGTTAATTAACAATTAATTTACGAGGAGATAATATTCAGTGGCCGCTACAACAGAAAAGATGAAAGAGAAGTGTGTTGAGCAGATACAGTCAAACCAAAAATTATTCAGACACCACAATTTTTGATATTTTTTTTACTAGTGGGTGCAGGATGCTATAGTTCATTTATGTAAGTGAGAATAGCAAAATAAAGTAAACTGTGAAATATTATACCCAAAAATTCTTCATACAGTGGACTAGGGGTGAACTAGGGGTGTGCGATATTGACAAAACATAATATCTCGATATTTTCTGGGAGTTTATCGATAACGATAATTAGACGATATTTTGCCGAGTATGTTATTGTGCTGATATCTTAAGGACTATACCGGACAGCTGATTCCTAGTTTTTGATATTCTTCATATTCTGTGTTCACACTGATAGAAATTAATCTTTTCCAATACGTTTAAATTGATTTTTTTACCTTCTTTGGGCATTTTTACCTTTATAAAGCCATTTTCCGAAAAGTTATGTTTTGAGTCAAATTCTTACATTTAATCAGTGAATTAGCATAATAAGACATTTGGGCTTTTTTAATTAAAATCGTAAATATTTACCGTATTGGCCCGAATATAAGACGACCCTGATTATAAGACGACCCCCCTTTTTCCAGATGTACCTTTTGGAAAAAGGCTTTTTAAAAACCAAATCTTGTATTTTCTCAGTAAAACACATTTTGTCTTCAATTATTTTCATATTGCATATTTTTCCTATTTTAATTTTTGTTTTGAAAGTATGGTAAAAACTGGTAAAATGTACCAACAATCACATTTAAAAAATATACACTTTTTGATATACCATAAAAAAAACAAAAAAACAAGTAGCCCATCTGAATTAGGACATTTAGGCTATCCATCTAATAGTAGCCTACCAAAATCTTATTAACAGTAGAAGTTAAATCTTACTGTAGTCTTCAAATCTGGGTACTGTCTTACGTTTTAAAATCACAAAGGGAGTTTGGTCCCATCACAGACGCACACAGACAGACAGACACACACACAGACACACACAGACACAGACACACACAGACACACACAGACGCACACAGACAGACAGACACACACACAGACACACACAGACACAGACACACACAGACACACACAGACGCACACAGACAGACAGACACACACACAGACACACACAGACACAGACACACACAGACACACACAGACGCACACAGACAGACAGACACACACACAGACACACACAGACACAGACACACACAGACACACACAGACGCACACAGACAGACAGACACACACACAGACACACACAGACACAGACACACACAGACACACACAGACGCACACAGACAGACAGACACACACACAGACACACACAGACACAGACACACACAGACACACACAGACGCACACAGACAGACAGACACACACACAGACACACACAGACACAGACACACACAGACACACACAGACGCACACAGACAGACAGACACACACACAGACACACACAGACACAGACACACACAGACACACACAGACGCACACAGACAGACAGACACACACACAGACACACACAGACACAGACACACACAGACACACACAGACGCACACAGACAGACAGACACACACACAGACACACACAGACACAGACACACACAGACACACACAGACGCACACAGACAGACAGACACACACACAGACACACACAGACACAGACACACACAGACACACACAGACGCACACAGACAGACAGACACACACACAGACACACACAGACACAGACACACACAGACACACACAGACGCACACAGACAGACAGACACACACACAGACACACACAGACACAGACACACACAGACACACACAGACGCACACAGACAGACAGACACACACACAGACACACACAGACACAGACACACACAGACACACACAGACGCACACAGACAGACAGACACACACACAGACACACACAGACACAGACACACACAGACACACACAGACGCACACAGACAGACAGACACACACACAGACACACACAGACACAGACACACACAGACACACACAGACGCACACAGACAGACAGACACACACACAGACACACACAGACACAGACACACACAGACACACACAGACGCACACAGACAGACAGACACACACACAGACACACACAGACACAGACACACACAGACACACACAGACGCACACAGACAGACAGACACACACACAGACACACACAGACACAGACACACACAGACACACACAGACGCACACAGACAGACAGACACACACACAGACACACACAGACACAGACACACACAGACACACACAGACGCACACAGACAGACAGACACACACACAGACACACACAGACACAGACACACACAGACACACACAGACGCACACAGACAGACAGACACACACACAGACACACACAGACACAGACACACACAGACACACACAGACGCACACAGACAGACAGACACACACACAGACACACACAGACACAGACACACACAGACACACACAGACGCACACAGACAGACAGACACACACACAGACACACACAGACACAGACACACACAGACACACACAGACGCACACAGACAGACAGACACACACACAGACACACACAGACACAGACACACACAGACACACACAGACGCACACAGACAGACAGACACACACACAGACACACACAGACACAGACACACACAGACACACACAGACGCACACAGACAGACAGACACACACACAGACACACACAGACACAGACACACACAGACACACACAGACGCACACAGACAGACAGACACACACACAGACACACACAGACACAGACACACACAGACACACACAGACGCACACAGACAGACAGACACACACACAGACACACACAGACACAGACACACACAGACACACACAGACGCACACAGACAGACAGACACACACACAGACACACACAGACACAGACACACACAGACACACACAGACGCACACAGACAGACAGACACACACACAGACACACACAGACACAGACACACACAGACACACACAGACGCACACAGACAGACAGACACACACACAGACACACACAGACACAGACACACACAGACACACACAGACGCACACAGACAGACAGACACACACACAGACACACACAGACACAGACACACACAGACACACACAGACGCACACAGACAGACAGACACACACACAGACACACACAGACACAGACACACACAGACACACACAGACGCACACAGACAGACAGACACACACACAGACACACACAGACACAGACACACACAGACACACACAGACGCACACAGACAGACAGACACACACACAGACACACACAGACACAGACACACACAGACACACACAGACGCACACAGACAGACAGACACACACACAGACACACACAGACACAGACACACACAGACACACACAGACGCACACAGACAGACAGACACACACACAGACACACACAGACACAGACACACACAGACACACACAGACGCACACAGACAGACAGACACACACACAGACACACACAGACACAG